AGAAACACAATGTAGGGGACGTAGGCCAAAACATCTCCTCTCCTTACTACTCCACTGAACCCTTCAACAAAATATTCCAGGAATACTTAGGGAACCGTGAAACATGGCGTTTGTATCACACTGCTGACCTCATTCCGTTACATACAATACAGACAATCCATGTCCCATAGAGAAATATGTAATCGCCACACGGTTTAATACTGTTCTTGTTTCATTTGACCTCTTGTAGTTCCAGCCGACTTGGCTAGTTCTCTTCCTACCGTTCTTGTAAACTGCCTGATCACAAACCTGAAATCTCAAGTCCATACCGTTTACGTCCAAGCCAGGGGATCTGTATACCGTTCTGTAACACTTCTGGCTCTTTATGTGGGGAGGTGTTAGGCTGCCACCCAACCCCCGTCGGTAAGGGTTAGAAAATTGTGTAACTCAGCGGCCAGAGTGCGGGCAAGGTGCGGTACAGGGCCACAGGCAGGAGACTTGCATTGATTTCTCGCTCCTGGCGGCCTGCCAACATGTCGGGCAGCGTAATGGACCACCATCTCATCATCAGTTCTGGGGGGGGGGGGTGCGTCTATATTCAATTCAATAAACAAACGCCTTTTGTTTTCTAGTCTCCTTCATCGAAGGTCTTCATATGAAGGGGTGTACAAATTTGATGTGCCCCGGACGCAAGAGAACGCCTGACGCGATACAAGCAAATTCCATGTTCCCAGGCGAGTAGACGACAGGGGAACGCAAACATACATCAGCTCTAGATCTGAGGTTCTCGCACAAGTGCATATTAAGATCATGGTCTTATAGGATAAGACATGTAACTTCATAGACGCGTTACGATTCGGAGGAATCTGCTGCCTCCATCTTCAGGAAGGAACATTGTAATCTTATTATTCATCGCTGTGAGAATCTCAATCCATCATATTCTGAAGATAGAGGCAGCAAGTTCCTTCGAAATGTTGATATTTACCACGTCACGAGGTGTTGTATCTATCTATGGCTCTCCAGCTCTGTTGGACCTTGGCCGCTTTTTCAGTTTCTCGAGCTATCACACAGCCGGCAGGGCTCCATGGACGGGGGGATCAGCCCGTCGCAAGGCCGCTGCCTACATACAGGACAGCACAAACAGAATAAACGCACACAGACATCCATGCTTTTAGTTGGACTCGAACCCACGATCCCAGTGTTTGAGCGGGCGAAGACAATTCATGTCTCAGAGGGCGCGGCCACTGTGATCGGCTGTGTAGCATCCAAAGGCTATGATATTTCGTGTGTATCCTGAACCAGTCCAACCAATCTAAACAACACGACAAACATTTCTAGAGCATTATCCTCCAGACTCCGTGTAAAAGAACCGCGTTCTTAAGCGAACGTCTGTATTCATCCATAAACAAGTCTGGCTTAATGTCATCTCCTTTAATCTGACCTCTCTCTCATGACAAGTATCTTTGCAAAACGAAATCTAGATGCAGAGTGTCATTATATAATGATCTTAATTACCCGACTATTTAATGACTCTCAGTCCCAAAATGGACCGCCTCTGTGGTGGTCACAGTTCCTGGCTACAGATCCAGAGGTCCCGGGTTAGATTCCTGGCGCTACCAGATTTTCTGAGACGTAGTAGGTCTGAAATGGGGTCTACTCAGCCTCGTGAGGATAACTGAGGAGCTACTTGAATTGAAAAGTAGCGGCCGTGGAGGAACATTGCGCTAACCACGTGACACCCTCTATCCACTAAAGTTGGCACTAGCTTCGCCGACAAGTGGCGATCGCTCGCTCGGTCGGTATATTTCGCTTCCGGACTACAGGCCACGGACTTTGTTTAGTTTTGTTTGTTCAGTTCCAAAATGGGCTGGGATTTTTCATTTTATCATGAGATCCACACCAGTTCTGAGGTCAACCATGCTTTCTATTGAAAGAAATGTTCTTCTTTCTCAGTGATGACGCGGAGAGCGAAGCTTTATTTCTGCTCCTCCATTCATTTTCATGGAGGTGTTCTTAAGCGCGGGAAATCAACCTTCGGCTTATCTCACAGTTCAAATGATTCTCCTTTGCTATCATTTTATCAGATCAGAATACACTACTCGATGACAGTGAAGTATTTTTAATATGCGGCCTTAGCCACTAGCAGATAGGCTTTAGTATACTACACTGAACCTTGCTGATCCCGTTTAGATTATATCCTGCACACAACGGCGGGGTCAGAGTGGGATTATGGGCAAGCAGGTCCTCCATTATCACAGTACCGATCTGTTGCCACCTCTTCATTACTGTCGCATTACTTAATTGAGACAGACCAACCCTATTACAGGCAATGTACAGCATAGCGTGGTCTGCAAACTGTGGTTCACAACAGCCCTAAAATATGCTTTAAAGTTAGAACTACAGGTTTCGTAAATATGCAACTGTACGCGTGTTAAGAAAACAATAATACACGCTGCTCTAATTTGGAATGAAAGAGGATTATTATGTACGGCTACAGTATGAAACAACTGTCTTGCTCAGTAAGGCTGGGGCCACACGAGAGCATAAAATGCGTCCGTTGTAACGAACGTCGTGACGTCCGTTGTAGAAATAAACAAGAGGCGAATGCTACGCTTTGTTCTGACTCCATTGCAGACCGCATTCTGCAATTGTGTGGTGTCCTCAGCAACGTCCGTCATAAAGTACGTTCGTTGCAATGGACGTACTTCGTGCGCTCGTGTGGCCTCAGCCTAAATGACAATATACCCCTCCTCCTCCTTCGCCCTCCCCAAATAATTATTATTATCTAACATGTGTGACCTCACTAGAAGGAATACCCCATTAATGTACTCTTTTCTCAATCCTGGATGTCTATGGGCTGAAGGGAAACCCACACTGATGCAGAACGCAAATGACGTTAGTAGTTTCTAATGTTAACAGTATCAGGAGCAAGACACAACACAGAACACGATACACAAATATATGTAGGAAGAATGCTCATATAAAAGAGGATTGGCGTAATTCGCGTGTTTGAGTGCGACGTAGGAAGAATCCTGAAAAATTTTATTATTTAGAATTCATCGTCCTATATGACGAATACAGATTTTAGTCATTTTAGAATGAAGACATTAAGGCAGGCAGTAAAATAGTTTAACGTGCATAAAGACACCTGAAGATGGCACATTAGTGCTGACACATGTAGTGTGGAAGTGAAGAATAAGGTGAAAAAGTGTATACAATGTAAGACGGTCAGCATAAACCATGGACATTAATAGTTTCTCCTTACTAAATAAACAAAATATTTCATACGATAAATTTTTCCTTAAATTTCCTGAAAACAGTCACAGCGTTCTTCATTCCACGTTATATCAACACATGACCACTCCATACCATACAGCCCGATAGTGACAGTGTCATTAAATACACAAAAACAAACCTATACCGACCGAGCGACCGCCGCTTGTCGGCGAAGTTAGTGCCAACTTTAGCGAACAGAGGGTGTCGCGTGGTCAGCGCAACGAAGGCCCACGGCCGTTAATCTCGGTTTTCGAGACCGGAGCCGCTATTTCCTTGAAATATCTCCTCAATTATCCTCACGAGGCTGGGTAGACCCCGTTCCAGACCCACTACTTCTCAGAAAATCTGGTAGCCCGGGAATCGAACCCGGACCTCTGGATCTGTAGGCAGGAGCTCTGCCCACTAGATCACAGAGGCGTTCCATTAAATACGTGTACACAGCGCTGACATAACCTCAGAAACTGTACACAATGGATACAGGTAATACTGCCACCAAGTCTGCTCAACGCCATGCTTTCAAGTATTAATTGCAGAAATTGTAAATGTTTGACGGTGGGGTAGGCATTTTGTTTTTCCTTGGCACTACAGCCCCAGTGGGCCTAGGCCTACCTCCATGAACTTCTCCGTTCACTTCGGTTTTTCTAAATTTTACACATTCGGTAGGACTCCTTTGGCGGGTTATCAGCTCGTCGCAAGGCCTCTACCTGACCACAAACACAGAAAAACGCACACACCCAAACTAAACATCCATTCCCTGAGTGGGATTCGAACCCACGACCCCGGTTTCCAAGCGAGCGAAGACAGTATATGCCGGGGTAGGCATTAGTGTCATGAAATTCGTGGTAAGTTTAATGAAATCCAATTAGCCCCCCGAGCTGATCTGGACATGTAAGAACACCTTGCTCCCAACAATAACTGAACGCGAATAGTCTAGACTCTTAAGACTCTTACACACATACAGTCACGGAGTCTGCAAAGGGATTGACATACGCACGGGAAAACAGCTAATGGTGATTCTTAAAAATATTGTTACGTGGGTCTAGTTTCCAGTCCTACTGCACAACTTTATTACGTACTGCAAAACATCTAATGAGAAGGATTTTCGAACATCAAAGACTAGTCTCGAATGTAACGCCGGTTAGTCTGGAACACGGTTGTCAACGTTCTGAAGGATTATACTTCCTCCATCTTCAACCACGAAGACACCGGCAGTAAATTCCTCCGAAAAAGAGCATCAAAAATTAATATTCTCGATTTTAAGATACACAGACAACGTCAGAAACAACGCGTAAGAATCGTTACGCAATGCGTACAAATCCTAACATACGATCTGCATACACTGATAACTCTTCATCGAGCCATATGAACGGAAATTGCTCACATTACATCAATATTCCATTCCCGTCTTTACTGTTCGCTACAGGTCTGGGGACGTTATTTTTTCTTTAATGACTCTTCCAGCCCATTCAGAGCCCTGGCCTCTTATTCAGTTCCGTAATAATTTTTCATAGGCGATAGGACTCCTTGGACGAGTGATCAGCCCGTCGCAAGGCCGCTACCTAAACACAGAACAACACAAACACATAAAAACGCAGACATCCATCCCAGCGAAGAAGGTTCATGACTCAAACCGTGCGGCTACTGTGCCCGGCTTGGGGACGTTATAATCCTTTGTAATTACTCGTATATATACATTAATTAGGGCGCCATCATCAGATGGTTTCCTACGCCGTTCAGGAACTCACCATGTTCACCGCTTCAGGGTAGATTGCTTCCGTGATGACTCCCCTTTGGGTGGTGACAAATTCCACCATCTCTTGCAGCGCCGTTCGCTTCACCTCCTTCCATTTCAGATCAGAGAGGGGATCCGCAACGAAGTCGAAGAGGACGCAACACTGCCGGATCTTCTGCACGAACAGCTCGTCTCGCTCGTTCGACGTCGCGTCTGCAACGAGATTACTGACATTAATATGCGCCATACATGGCGAAACATACAAACGAAATAAGGACAGGTTCAGGCGGCTTTTCCAATAGAGCAGCTTCAAAGGGACAGCAAAAAAATCACTGTATAACTCCATCCAGCAAAACAGTTCTTCAGAAGCTAAGAACAGTCCGTCAGTTAGTCAAGAGATCCGGGTCTGGTCAAGTGGGATTTGTGGTGAACAAAATGGCGCTGGGGCAGGTTTTCTCCGAGTACTTCGGTTTCCCCTACCAATCTTCATTCCACCAATTGCTCCACAATCACCCTCACCTATCATCTGGGGCTGGTACAATAGGCCAGAAGTGGCAGCAGTACAAGGACTTAGTCCCACCCCACTAGCAATAAAAATTAGTCAAGAGATTCCTTGCTTCTTACGGAACCAGAAGGTTCGTGTGTTCACAGAACCAGCCACTGGTCCCTACCCTAAGCCAAACGAATCCATTCCATCGCCTCACACCTTATTACCTTATTTCTCTAACACGATTTTTCGTATTATCCTTCCACCACGCCTCGGTTTCCAAACACGCTCTATTCTAGTGAGGTTTATCAACTAAAATGTATGTATTGCTGGTCAGCCCAGTACGGGATTTATTTCTCGCCCACACACACCATTATTTGATCACCGCAATGACTTTAATTTCACCGTATACGACCACAAATTCCTATGTTAAAAACTATATCCAATAGATTAAATATTTTCACGTGTCTGTGAATGGGCACGGGGTTAGGATTAATAACTGAATTCACTGAACACTTGTAACTACAAATGACTATAACAGTCTCGCTGATTCGCCCACTCTATAAATCACTACAACTACAGTACACATAAACTCTTCTGTTTACTAGTCGTTGCTAGGTAGCGGCTGCTAGCAATGCAACTAAAATTATTAATCACGACTACGACTTCCGGCTGAGTGGTCTCGTTCTAGGGTTAACTGCTGCTGGCCCTCGCCATCATAAACGTATGTTTATTGAGAAGGCTTATCTTTGCATGCGCAACATGTCTATCGCTCATTCGTGGGTGTCGGTGCTAGTTTTAATTTCATTTCGAAATTAACCATAAGCTGTACATACGTCTCAGGGTTTTAAGTCTTAAATATAATTGTATTCCAAGGAAACGAAGATGCTGACGTATCACCTCAACCTCTGAATTAACTTTGATCACACATGTAAAGATAAAGTTACTCCTGTGCTTAACTAATTAAGCACTACACCATGAAGGCGTATGGGGGAGTGGGTGTATAGATCCATATTTTCTTGACTTCGATACTAGTTAGAGGTGAGTGGTCAACTTCACCCCCGGGGAAAGAGCCCTCAGTAGCCATTGGATAGGAGGTTGGGTGGACCCCAGAGCCGGTCTGGACGACGTGGAGAAGAGAAAATTCTTGACCCTACCGGGAGTCTCCGACCTCTCGGTCGTCCAGTCCGTAGCCGGTCGCTATCCTGGCTCACTTCAATACTCCGATAAGCATAAATAATAAATCGACAATCGTCATGTATCTTAAAACAATGCTATTTAATGGAGGAAAGGGGACACCATACCACTTAATAAGGAAGACCTGTAAGGGTGGATGACCCCGTTCTCAAACGTACAGCACTGTCAATGAGCGGCACTTAAAACTTCATGTCTGACATGTTCAGACAGGGGTCAGGTAAGGTCACCCTGGGGACCTGCACGTATAAAATATAAATGGGGTTGACATCTTGTGCAACTGGGGCACTCCGTTGTGCCTACCTCAAGAGCCCAATATTTGCCTTACTCTTACAGGTCATCCGTGTCACGTGCCTGCTAGCAGAGTCGACGTCTCATAGGCCCCACAAATAGGTCTACACAATAGACCAGCGGGCAGTCGTCTCCTGTAACGATGATCTAACTTTATTCCCATGATGCTACAGCATTTCTGGAAGGCACCAGAGATCTTTATGGTGGACTTACTCCTAGTTCGAAGAAGCTAGCGAGCCAGCAAGAACGTAATTATTAGAAGACGTTACCATGCAACTAGTGAAGGCACAAAAGACTATAGCGATTTATATGGTGCCTATATTAGTGGTTACAGCATTATTTGAAGAATGCCGTATTCTTCATAGTCACCGTTACGAAAACCTCAAATTTTACACAGCATTATATTTGTATGTTTAAGAGTCGTACGTTTTCAATAAATAATCCAAACCCCATGTCTAACTAGTCACTAACATGTGACCTATCTTGCTCTGCGTATCAAATCAATTACCATTCTTGAGGTCTTATTGATCGGCGTTTTCCGTTACTGTTCTATTTTACTGCATGCAATATGGAAATTGAGGGAGAGAAACGGATTTATCAGTCTAAAAGTCACAGCGGCAAATTGTTTGTAGTGTGCAAATGAAGTTCTAATGGTTCCTTCGAACCTGCCAACACGTGCGCTGCATCTGAAAGGGGAAAGCTATTTGCAAATACACTGTTTCACTGAAATATGCACGCAATATTGCATCATGCTTCTGTCTCACTGCAACACGACCAATAATTTACCATTATCTCCTGCAGAATATAGGGGCACGCGGTAGCGTACTTCGTTGAGGCACTGTGCTACAAGCCGGAAGGTCGCGCGTTCAAGTCCTGATGATTTTTTCAATTGACCTAATCCTTCCAGCCACACCATGGCTCTGGGGTCGACTCAGACTCTAACAGAAATGAGTACCAGGAATCTTCCTGGGGGAATAAGGGGCGGCCGGCACGTAAGGCTGACAACCTTACCGCCATCTGTGAACCGACTGTCTATAAAATATGGGAGCCTCAACGTCTCACAACCTTACGGGTCTCCATGGCCTGTTACAGGGATAGCTTTAGCTAGCTTTCCTCCAGAATATAACTTGATTTTGCCTGACTGTATTGCAGTAAGCCCTTCGCGAACGCCGTTCAGAATTGCTTTTTCGTCTTTCAGAATAGCAGAACGGCTAGTTTTAGAACTATATAAGCACACACACAGACATTTCAATACGATGCTTTACGGTTCTCCTCTGCTAAGACAGTGAACATAACCTACATTTCATTTCACAACCACCCAGCGACACTTCTCCGATTACTACGAAGGGGGACCCAAAAATAACCGGAAACGACCTGTTGCGCGCGCATGCTTTGTAGTTACGAGTTGTGCTGCTAGGTGGTGTTAGCTGGGGGTCTCCCGCGACTGTTAGTGAGCCGGTGTCAGTCTGAGTTAAGTGGTTTGTCTGCGGTGGTACAATGGCCAGTTTTGAACGATCGCTATCTGTCGTAACATGACATTATATGCGGAGAAAAAGATTCAAGCAATGTTAGAAGATGAATAGCCAGCTTCACGTTCTAGATGGCTTTACATCATGAGGCTACGGTGATGGATTCCAAGACTGACTTAACAAAATGGGAAAATATTTACCTCTGCCGATCGAACTGTCTGGGAACAATCAAATTCCTCCCTACAGTGTCAACGGGAGAGGGGATAGTTCAGTCGGTATACCGATGAGCTATGGGTTCAATGGGTATCGAGGATTCCTTCGCCGGGGGTAAACCGGCTGGGGCATGAAGCTGACCATACACCTCCATCTAGAACCAAGGTCAAGAATGGTGGAGCTATATCTCCACGGCGTTGTGACTAATTAATTAAGTATACGGAAAATTTTAGCTTACGACATCACCAAGTTAACAGATATGTACGATTATAAAACCTAGACAATGTTCCATGGTTATAAGAGATTACGACGACTTAACAGAGCCGTTCCGAAGACAATTAATCGGAACAACATATTTTCTTCAAAGAGAGAAACTGCCTCAAGGTGAGAGAATCGAATGTAAAAAGGAAATACCGTATTTACGCATGTATAGGTCGCGTGCGTGTATAGGCCGCAGCACAATTTTCAGACATAAATTATACAAAAAATAATTTTCTTGGAATATTATTTCAGGAGTAGAAATTATTATTATTATTAATTATGAATATATTTTTTTAATGAAGTGTGATTTCGAATATAAGCCGCACCCCAATTTTCCTCTTGAATTTTTGGCAAAAAAATGTGCGGCCTATACATGCGTAAATACGGTAACTTTGCGAGAATGAGCCGGCGTTTATAACCGTCGAAACGTAGACCTATGTTACAGCAAAGGCCTTACCAGGGCCGCGCCATAGCTCAAGCGCTTAGTCCATGGCTTCCCACCGCGGCGTCCCGGGTCTGGTCAAGTGGGATTTGTGGTGGACAAAGTGGCACTGCGGCAGGTTTACTCCGAGTACTTCGGTTTCCTCTGCCAATCTTCATCCCACCAATTGCTCCACAAGCACCCTCACCTATCATCTGGGGCTGGTACAATAGGCCAGAAGTGGCCGCAGTACAAGGGACTTAGTCCCACCCCACTAGCAATAAAAAAAAATTAAAAAAAAAAACCTCACCAGCAACCGACTGGTATTACGCAGCAAGAATAATTTATGTACAGAGACAAATCATTCAACTACACAAATTAAACGTATTGCTACACCGTGCCCAACAGGCTAAGGCGAGCTAAGGTCTGTCCAATTAGCGAACCACGATCACTGACTTAACATGTGACGTTTAATTTCGTTTGACGATGTACAGTGGTTCAATATGACTCTTCATAAAGGACAGCTGTGTCAAGTATGATGTAATTAACGAGAAGAAACATCGCTAACCTCATTTAAATATTTAAAAATTCAGTTCCTACATCATGGAGAACACATTGCGTCTCCTTTACGAATACCAACTGGCTGTTGTTTTGGAAAATACTCCCTGTTCATTCTCGGATTCATAACGACAATACATGCTCTCTTGAAAAAAATGTTGATTCTTTAATATTAGAGCAGTTATCACTAATTTCATTAGTGCTTTTCCAAGCAGGATCTTGGGCGCTGTCCTGTGACCGCAAGGAAGATCGCAATAATTCTCAACTACTGAAATATGGAACGTCAGTTTCGAAATTCGGAATCTTCATTTAGGAATAT